TAGGACGACGGGAGACTGTCCCATTGGCCAGATTGACTTCCTGATGGGGCACCTGATGGGAGGCGGCTGCATTTCAGGACTGAGAACATGAGAAGCCTGGTGGTGCAGAGGGGATGCTGCTGACATAGCCGTGGTTACCGTGCGGCCCAGTCATGGGCCCCAAAGATGTTCACATCCCAGTTCCCAGGGCCTGTGAATGGTACCTTCTATGGCAAAAGGGGGAACTTCATCAGATGTGATGGAGTTAAGGATCTTGGGCTGGAGGGATTATTCCGAGAGGCCAGGTCACCACGAGGGCTGAGCCGGCATCTGCTGGCTGGCTCCCGACTCTGCACACTGCTGCCTCTAATGGTGCCGCAGGCTGTCCCTGTAGTGTGACCGGGACGCCTGGCCCGGCTGGGGTGGCTGCAGAGTGGCTTCTCTGTCCTTGTAGCCCTCTTCCCAAGCTTCCTTTGCCAGAGCAGTTGGGTGCCATAAAGCAACCATAACAAATATGAGGCCCCAGAGAGAAGTCGCAATACATCACTCAGAGGCGTGCTGCCCGGCTGGCTGGCTCTTTAACTCGCACAGGTCTGTGGGGAGAGGCTCCGTGCCCTGACACCCAGGTCAGAGAGTCGGATTCCCACCAGCTCTCACCTGCACTGCGTGCCTCTTCCCTCACGTCTCCCTCACCGCTGCCTCCTGCCATCGCAAAGTATTCGTAGCCAGAGGAGACGGCAACTAAACATTCTACATACGCCAGCTTTCCTGTCCCTCACCTTTCCTTTCTTTTTTTAAATCCTCACCCAAGGACATTTTTTCCCATTGATTTCTAGAGAGTGGAAGGGAAGGAGGAAGGAGAAGAGAGAGAAACATCAGCCGGAGAGAGACACGTCGATTAGTTGCCTCCCCGGCTGGGCCCAGGGAATTGAACCTGCAACCCAGGTATGTGCCCTGGACTGGGAATCGAACCCATGACCCTACGGTCTGGAGGCGGATGCTCTCACCACTGAGCAACGCAGGCCAGGGCTCCCCTCACAGTTCTTTTTAGTTATGTAGACATGCACTTGAGCTGGAGCACCCGCTCTGCCTTATCTCCTGTTGGCCTTGGGATCCGGGCAGACGCTGTGATGAGCGCCGGTGGGAGACACGCCCAGCTCTTTCAAGGTAACCTTGCCCGCCTCCCAATATTCCACAGGAAGCAGTATTCCAAACACTCCAAATGCTCACAGAAATAGTGTGTGAAGGAGGCAGGCCCTGAGCTGGGGCTGAACAGGAGTGTGTGGAAGGAGAGAAGGAATGGCGGGATCGTAGAGGCTGCTGAGTCCACAGGAGGGCGGGCAGCTGAGATTTAGGTTGGTCCCCATCCCTCTCTGATCCTTTGGAGGGACTTTAGTGGGGGGTGGGGAGGGTCTGTGCACCAGAGCACCAGTGTCCCAAGGCTGCAGGGCAGGCAGTAAGGCAGCTCTAGGGCACCTCAGGACACTGTGGCCTCAGCCGTCTTTTCCCTTCTGAGACGTGCCCTTGGTGTTCGCTGTGTCCTACTTGCTGCGTTAGCGTTAGCGCAGATCCTCCACTTACGCCCCGCAGCCAGCCCAGAGGTCAGAAGCCGCAGCTTCCCAATCAGTCTCCCACTCAGTCGAGAGCGTCTGCGCCCTCACAGGCGGCCAGGATGTCCGATGCCCCGCATCCCAACACCCACCACAATCAGGGCCTGCCCCGGAGCCTGCTTTCCTTCGCGAGCTATTTATAACCAAATCAGGGCGGGAATCATTAGGTAAAGAGGGCCCCCCTTCCTCCCCCTCCCGTGACGCTCTGGCTGCAGTAATCAGACTTAATGAATGGACTCGTGCATTGGCAAGTGCTGAAGGCAAAGGAGTCTGTGACTCATCATCCCCTGCCCACGCACAGAGCCTGCCTTGGACGTGGCCAGCTTCAGTTTTGTTATCTGAACACAGGGTGGGTCGCATCCTCTCTGGTTCGCTCCGGACTCCCTCCTGGTTCCAGAGGGCTCTGGAAGGGTTGTCAATCAGTGCCCTGGGCCCCGCCTACCACTTCTGGGTGGAGCATATGAGCAGCTGGGTCTCTTTGCGACTTCTCTGTGAAGTTGATGCCTGCACTTTGCAGGTGGTGGGCTGTCTGCAGGGCCGGCCACAGTCACCCCAAGCTGGCCACGTGACTTTAGATGCGTCCCAGCAGGAGGTGAAATCTATTTCCCTTCCCCCTGAATCTGGGCTGGTCCTAGACTTGCTTTGATCAGGGGAGGGGTGCTGTGTGAGTTCCCATCTTCAGCCTCTAGTGACTTTGCAGGTTCTGTTCTCAGCCTCTTAGAACGCTGCTGCTCTGTGATGGCCAGGGGCCCTCCCTGACACCGAAACCCTTCATGCAGAGTCCACGCAGAGCGGCCCGCCGGCCCTGCTGTTCTAGCCATCCCAGTCGAGGCCCCTGACCTGTGAATGGGGCCACCTGAGGCCACCCAGCCTCCAGCTGATACCACCTGACCACAAGTGCCAGGGGGGATCCAGAAGACACTGCGTGCACCCTGAGAACTGCCCGATTTGCTCACCCACAGAACCGTGGGCAGGAAAATGCCGCCCCTTAAAAAAAAATATTTTTATTGATTTCAGAGAGGAAAGGAAAGGGAAAGAGAGAGAGAAACGTCAATGATGAGAGAGAATCATTGATCAGCTGCTTCTTCACACCCCATACTGGGAATAGAGCCTACAATCCAGGCATGTGCCCTGATCAGTCATCGAACTCTGACCTCCTGGTTCATAAGTCGATGTTCAACCACCCAGTCACGCTGGCCAGGCTAAAGCAACAGTTTCTTCTTTCTTGTGGACTCACCCACACAGCTGCATCCAGGTGGAGGCCCCCTGGGGTGGGCTTGGCCTCTCTGTGGGGTCTTTCATTCCCAAGGAGGCTGGCCTGGGCTTCCACACACGATGCCGTCAGCGTCTAAGAGGGAAAGCCCTAGAGCACAAGCCCCCATCAACTCCCGCTTGTGTCACATTTTCCGACGTTTCAGTGGCCAAAGCACGTTGCATGGGTTCCATGCGATGGAGGCTGACACCAGGGCTGTGACGCTTTGGTCCACGTGGAAGGGATCCATGTCCAGTGGGGTTCACGGGTGGAGATGCATATCAGAGTGGTTGTTCTGGAGACAGGGGGCTGGGCCAAATGCCTGAGGTCCTGCAGAGCAGTGATGGGAACAGTAAACGTGGCTGGACTTAGCGGGGGGAGCACAGGGTCTGGATCAAATGAAAGGAATCCAGTAATGGTTCCTTCACGGGTCTTCTCTAGCCTCATAGGCCACACCGTGGAGGTATTTTGCAAACTTGAAAAGAAGGGAAGTTAGTGTTGTCAGGCAGAAAACCCCGGTCAGCACCCCAGACAGCTCCGAGGCACCGCAGCTGCACCCAGACCATCCCCAACAAGAGTCCCTGCCGCTTCGCTGGACGCACCGGGCCCCAGGGAAGCAGCTTGCCCGGTGTCTAGAACACTGGATCGGCTTGATACATCCTCATTTGTGGGCTCCCTCCTGTGAGGACTGTATGAATCGAGTTCAGGTTTGGTCATGAGTATGAGAAACCCCAAGTAAGAGAGGCTTTGACTCTCATAAGCAAAGGCCGTTGCTAGGCAGGTCGGGGCGGTCATGGCCCCACTGCTCCAGGAAGTCCAGACCCTGGATCCTCACTGCTCGCTGCCCTGAACCCTTAGGGGGCGCCCTTCAACTTCCTGGTCTAAGGTGGGTGGCCAGTGTGCCTGTCACTGCATCCACATTTTTTCATCGGCCCCTCCCTCCAATAAAGGCAATTTTTCTGGTGCCTAGTATGTACCCGACCGGCATGACTCAGTGGTTGAATGTTGACCTATGAACCAGGAGGTCATGGTTTGATTCCCTGTCCCTGTCAAGGGCACATGCCCAGGTTGTGGACTCGATCCCCAGTGTGGGGTGTGCAGGAGGCAGCGATCCATGATCATTGCTGATGTTTCTCTCTCTCTCTCCCTCTTCCTTCCTCTCTGAAATCAATAAAAATATTTTTTTAAAAAAAGAGGCTAAAAGATCTTACATGTGTGGCATCAAAAAGTCAGCATTCGCCCTAGCTGGTTACACTCAGTGGATAGAGTGTTGACCTGAAGGCTGAAGGGTCCTGGGTTCAGTTCCAGTCAAAGGCACAGGACCGGGTTGCAGGCTCAATCCCCAGTAGGGGGCATGCAGGAGGCAGCCAATCCATGATTCTCTCTCATTATTGATGTTTCTATCACTCTCTCCCTCTCCCTTCCTCTCTCTAAAGTCAGTAAAAATATGTTTTGTTTTTTTAAGTCAGCATTCTTGGAATTCCGAGGAAAAGAGGAAGAGAGAAGCTTTTCGGGACGTCATGTGGAGAAGCAGCCAAGATGAGCCATGGCTAGTCTGGGCTGGGCAGTGTTTGAGTCAGACACAGGCTGCCTGGTTTTATTGTGCTTCAGAAAGATTGTGGGTTTGTTTGTTTGTTTGTTTTGTTTTTGCAAACAAAAGGTTTGCGGCAACCTCCCATCAGCAAGTCCATCGGCACCGTTTCTCCTGGTGGAGATGCCGTGAAGAACATTGACATGACAGCCAAAGATTTATAACATTTAACAAGCTTTGTTGATAAAACAGTGGCAGGGTTGCGGGGGACTGACTCCCATTTTGAAAGAAGTTCTACTGTGGATAAAACGCTATCACACAGCATCGCATGCTTCAGAGAAATCGTGCGTGAAAGGAAGAGTCCATTGGTGTGGCAAGCTTCATTGCTGTCGTAAGAAATTGCCCCCCCCCCAACCTTCTTGCCTCCCCAAACTTCAGCTACCACCACCCCATCAGTCACAGCCATCAACCCTGAGGCAAGACCCTCCACCAGCAAAAAGGCTGACTGGCATCTGTAATAACCACCACCACCACCACCACCACCACCACCAAACAACAACAACAACAAAAAGACTGCGACTTGCTGAAGGGCTCAGAAGACGGTTAGCGTTTTTTTTTTTTTTCCTCAATAAATAACTTTTAATTAAAGTATGTACATACTTCAGACATAATGCAATTGCACACAAGATAGACTACAACAGAGTGTAAAAACAACGTTTAGATGCACCAGGAAACCACATATTTGTGTGACTCATTCATTGTGAGACTTGCTTTCCTGTGGTGGCCTGGAACCGAGCCTGCAGACTCTCCGGGGTGCGCCTGTGTGTATACTTCTGTGCCTCTGGGGAGCCCTGACTGACACGCTGTCTTCCAGCGAAATCTCTTCCGGGATCTGCAACCACAAAGCACCCTTGGGGCAGACAGCACCAGGCAATCACCCGTCCTTCCCTCCACGCCTGTGTGCAGCCTCAGAGTCATCCTTAACCTTGTTTGACGGCTCCGACGGAAAAGCGTTCGATTTGCAGGGCCTGCCCCACCTCCTGAAACGCTACTTCTTGCGTCGGCCTCTCTGGGTCTCCCATATCTGGGTCCTCTCTCTGTTCGCTGTGACATGTCTGGTGCTCGGAGGTGACGGTGCTTCAGGGCTGGAGGCCTTGAGCCCCATGGGACAGAGCCAGGAAAGGCAGAGCAGAGGGAGGGGTTGGCACCAGGCTCCCCTGAGCCGGAGATCCACAGGACAGAGCCAGAGATGGGAGCCAGGCATTTGCCAGGCGGTCTGAAAAGTCCTTCACCCGAGTTCTGGACATCTGCACCCAGGACCCAAGCCCAGGTGCACTGGGGACTCAGGATCCCACTGGGGGCAGCTCACAGCTACGGCAGGTAGAGCAGGGACTCTGTTCCTTCCAGAAACCACTGGGGGGCTCCCTCCCCGATTTCACCTCGGAACCATGGGCTCAGACATGAAGAAGGCAGGCGTGGACCCGTCTAGGAGAATGTTGGGTCTGCTAACACACAGGGTGGTTGTTTCCAGCTTCCAGAAGAGTTTGGGGGACTCAGCCATGCATGACACCCAAATGGTTGCAGTATTAAGTGAGCAAAGTCTCATTTTTAAATACTTACTAATGTTCAACGTGTAGGGGGATCTTCGGTTTTCTGAAATGGTGAGACCACCCGTGATGACTGGGGTGGGGACCGACCGGCCCGGAGGCTGTTAAAACCCTAGGAACCATGTGGCCTGGCCCTGCCAAGGCATTAGGGTGAGTTAATGAAAGGTTCGGACAAATGGAACAGGCTGATTTTTGAGTGGGTGATTCTGTATGGCCTGAGGATGATGTCACAAATATCCAATGGCTCTTGGCAGAAAAAAATGTCCCCCGCCCCCGTGGTTTAGATAATCCCACTTTTGATGTAATTGTCCAGCGTGGAGGAGGCCTCTGGTTTTGGCCTGTTCGTGGCCTTGTCGTCAGTGACGGCTGAGTCTGTCTTCTCCGCTGGTGGGTAGGCCTTGTTCCTTTTGGCAAACGCCTGGCTGATTTCGGCGTGGGTTCGGTTTTTGGTCTCAGGGAGGACGAAATATAAGTAGAGAGCACCCGCGGAGCAGATGGCGGCAAAGACCAGGAAGCAGTAGGTGCCCAGGCTTTTCTGTGGAAAGGTGGAGACAAAAGCGTCAACCAGACAAGCACCCCACTGGCCACAAAGCCACCTCTGAGCAGAATGTTCTTTGTTAAAAAAAAAAAATTAAAAAAATATATATTTCAGAGAGGAATGGAGCGAGAGATAAAAACATCAATGACAGAGAATCATTGATCGGTTGCCTCCTGCATGCCCCACACTGGGGATCAAGCCTGCAACCCGGGCATGTGCCCTTGACCAGAGTGGAACCCTGGACCGTTCAGTCCGCAGGCTGATGCTTTATTCACTGAGCCAAACCAGTGAGGGCTGGACTGTTCTTGATGGTCCCCACTCATCCGCCAACATTCCCAGGTGCAGCTTCGCACGCAGATGTGCCTTATACTCGTGCGCAGGAGACGTCTCCCGTGAGGCATGAATCAATCAGCTTCAAACCCCAGGAAAGATGAGGAAGTGGCAG